GATAGGAAGCTGAGGACTACGCGTGGTAGTAATAGTAATAAAATAACAATAATGCTGAAGAAAAAATAACCTTAATAAACAAGTAAATGCGAACAACTGACACATGATACTGCCGCACTCGTACGTGCCGGATATCGGTATATCACTCAGCACGTCTCCACTTCTTTTGTTTAGTCAAATTCGTAGAAGTCACCTCCCCTAATTCTAAGATGCGACGCAGTTCTGGTTCTTCTACTTCCAGAAATATAATATTGCGACTTCTAAGAATTTAGTTGTACAACGAAACGTTTAATCAGAATTGTTACATGTTTTTCTATCGACACATTCGGAAAACGTAGTGATTTCAAATATGCCGTATTATTCCGAACAATATACTAACACAGAATTCACCGAGAAAATAACGTCGAGAACTTTAACGTGAAAAGAGAAAATGTACGATATAAATTATTTCGTTGCAACAAATGCTGGATAAACGTTCGTGGGCAAAATCGACGACCACGGGTCAACCTCGTTTTTTATTTCGCGGTATTATTGTGAACGTTGTAGAATAAATTATGCAAAATGTTATTAATGTATCCTTTAATACGCATTAATGTCTACCTGTGCAATATTCGATCTTTGACCACAGATCGTAAAACTTGTTAATTGTTATTCGAAACAGTAATAATAAAATCTTTCGTTTACCATTGTCCTGAAACTTCCATGGTGATCCACGTTTTCCACTTGCGAACTTCCACACTTTCATTCGTAAGAATTACAACTATTACCGGATCGTTTATTCCGTCCTTCTTAGATCGAACGCAAAAATCGTACTGGTGCATTCCGCCGCCACGCGTGACAGTCGAACCGTGCGTTGCGTCGTTTTTTCTCGATCGACTTCAGGTAGTACAATCGATACTCGAACACGTTGATCGTTCTTTGTTGAATTAATCTTTGTTAAATCTTCGTTGCGTAAAAATAATCTCGAAATAGAAATTCGTATATTAATTTTGATCAAAGTAGCCCAGTTAAATTTATAGATCAACATTTAAAGCGCTTTTATGTGAAATGGTGCATACGATGCGTTGAAACGGCGCCAGTTTGCCCTTGACTCGGTTCACGTTAAACTAAATTCGCGCTCAAAGTTAATGTTCTGGGATTACCTTTCGATATCACTTTTATTTTACTTAATATTGATGCACGCTGTAAAACTGTATCGTTATTTGTCTGTAAGCAACTAATTTTATTTTTCCTTCTTTTGCGTTTTAAAATATTCCTTCGTACTCTTATGCAGTGACAAAAATACAGAGTAACGTAATGTTCCGAATAAAATTTGAACGTATTGCTAACGAGCGTATGGATAAAAGGAACGGTAGTCGCGTTATACAATTGTATCGAATAGGAAATTTAGTAAATTTGTAACGATATCTAACAACAGAAGTACACGAAAGAGAATTAACGTAGTAGTAGTAGCATTTTTCAAATAATAACACTTTTGTAACAACCAATTGACCAACGCTTGCTAGAAGCATGCATGCGTTACGTCGGTCACTTTAATATACAAATTACTAGACTAACGTCCTTACAGTGATTACTTAGTTCGCTATGAATATGTATACAGCAAATGTATACAGTAGAATAGCAAAATGATTTATTGGTGGAAAAAATTTTTATGGTGTTTCATTGCATGATTTCTATGTACCTGAACTTGAAACAGTGTCAGAAACAAAAGCTAAACTTGTTCAACGTCGCAGAGATGTAACTATACGTATAAAAAGAAATCAACAAGATATGACAAATCCAGATGTCAGCAAATTTATACCTAAGTATGTGAAGAATAAAAATAAAATTATTGAGCATAATAGTAAGATTGAATAACAACTTTCAGAGAGCAATATCATAGAAAAAAGAAGAACCCTGCTTTACCACTTACACAAGCCCGTCAAACTCAACATTATCCTGGGGAAATATTATCCTCTATTTATGACGGTATACCACAAAATCTAGATCCAAGACCAGTATCTGAACTTAGTTTACCTTCAACTTCATACAGTCATCTAGAAAATAATTCTGTTCCATTTGCATCATCACAAGCTCCTTATCACCCAAATGAAGCTATAATTAGAACACGTAAACACAAAGAAACTACATTGAAATCTGAGGGTACAAAAAACAAAAGAAAAAATTACAAGGGGCAGTATGTTAATAATAATGTCAAAATTAGAGTAGTTAGACCTCAACTTGGAGACACAAGTAGCATAGTGAAATGGGATACATCAAATAAGAATGTAGTTTCCAACCCAAAGAAGCTTCAGAGTAATATGACTATTAAATTAATACCAAAGAGTGGTGATGATAGAAAAAGGATTATAATAAAGGATCCAAGGTATGCTATATACTGTACATCATACTGAATATGCTTTCATAATAAACTATTATTGTCCTCCTGTTTAGTGTATCACAATTGGTAGAACCAAGTGAAGATCTTCAATGTTTAATTAAAGAAGCAAAATCTCAGGTACGAGCGGCTATGCAGATGAATATACTAGAGAAAATCTGTAATTTAATATTAATACGTAATAAAAAGGAGGATTATGTTGAGAAGGTTGCTCATTTTATATTAAATAAATACATTATTGCAATTCGTTTATATTGATGTTTACAATTATTAAGTTCTACAATTGTTCATAACAAACGGTTATACGGGGTGTCCCGTACTCCTCGAACATCCGGAAATGGGGGGTAGCTGGGGTGACCCTGAACAACTTTTTCCTTTTCCAAAATCTAGTTTGAAGCTTCATTTTTGAATTATTAACGAAAAACACTGACCAATCAGAGCACGCGTAGAGTCCGCGCTCAGGCACGAAGAACAGGGGCTCATCCGCGCGCGATCGAACAAATGCGTACGCGTGACTTCTCGGTTCTCGATAGCTGTCAAAAAACTTTCACTTTGCACTGCTGTTTTTATAAGGCTTAGAGAAATGGTTTTTGGCCGTCATTCCGACGTTTGTATAAATTTGTAAAAAAACTGCAATTAGTCTGTATCGCGAAGAAAATAGCGAAGGTCAGTTTTACAACTTTTTTATCTGAGCTCGAAATGAAAATCTAAAAAATACGTTTTGTAGATCTATGTCAATGATACACGTGCTGATAATTTCATCGTAATCGGTTAATGTTTCTATGAGCTACAAACGGTTAAAGATTGTGAATATCACACTATCACGACTTTCCGCGTAAAACTGTAATAAATCTGCAGATTCTTACATCTTTCGATGCCTGTTGCTTGTTTCTCCATCAACATATTTCGATGAAATTTTATAATTGACATCGATTTCCAAAACGTATTTTTTTTCTTTTTCATGAATAACAAGTAAGACGTTTAATAATAGTGTTATTAACTGTGTTATCGTTTCTTTATTCCGAGAGGAATAAAGTGTTTTATTACTTATGAAAAACTTACCCATTCGTCCACGAATTAATCTGCTTCGACGGAACTGGGTCAGTTTGTCGATCCTGACCTATCCGAAACATCTGATATTACGATCGTGTCGGTGAACTCACACGATCGTTCTTCAAAACGTAGCGCGGTCCGCGGGGAAAGTGTGGAAAAAAACAAAAGACGTCTCGGCGTTCTCGACGTCTTCTTTCGGCGTTCGACGTTTATTGTTGTCGATGTCGATGTCTCTTGTGTCTTTACTAACACTCATCGGTGAACTCACTTCCTCGCACAGATCACTTTCTCTTGCCACAGGGAGAGGTTGATATGTTTATGAATTTATTATTTTGTTGTTTCTGTAGCTTCCCGTGGACCGCCATTCTTTCGAAGAATTTCGCGAGGCCGTAAATCCCTCTTACATTCTAGGTGGTGTATTGTATTGTGTGTGGGTTGGGTGTCACAAGCGCGTGTTGGAGAATGACCCGCGGAGTCGTCCTGACGACGGAATTGAGCATCGGTTATGGAGAGGAGAGGTTCGCGAGGTATTTGTTTCTTCGATGCGTTCGCTCAAGGAGGTTTATTGCGGGCCGATGTGAGTTTAATACCCTGGTCTGGCGGTCGGATTTGATTAATGAATTTTATGATGATAAAATACCAACCTTTCTCAGTGGCAAGAGAAAGTGATCTGTGTGGGAAAGTGAGTTCACCGATGAGCGTTAGTAAAGACACAAGAGACATCGACATCGACAACAATAAACGTCGAACGCCGAAAGAAGACGTCGAGAACGCCGAGACGTCTTTTGTTTTTTTCCACACTTTCCCCGCGGACCGCGCGACGTTTGGCGAAGAACGATCATGTGAGTTCACGTTGTAAAATCAGATGTTTCGGATAGGTCAGGATCGACAAACTGACCCAGTTCCGTCGAAGCAGATTAATTTGTGGACGAATGGGTAAGTTTTTCGTAAGTAATAAAACACTTTATTCCTCTCGGAATAAAGAAACGATAACACAGTTAATAACACAGGTATTAAACGACTTACTTGTTATTCATGAAGAAGAAAAAAAATACGTTTTGGAAATCGATGTCAATTATAAAATTTCATCGAAATATGTTGATGGAGAAACAAGCAACAGGCATCGAAAGATGTAAGAATCTGCAGATTTATTACAGTTTTACGCCGAAAGTCGTGATAGTGCGATTTTCATCATCTTTAACCGTTTGTAGCTCATAGAAACATTAACCAATTTCGATGAAATTATCAGCACGTGTATCATTGACATAGATCTACAAAACATATTTTTTAGATTTTCATTTCGAGCTCAGATAAAAAAGTTGTAAAAACGACCTTCGCCATTTTCTTCGCGATTCAGACTAATTGCATTTTTTTCAAAAATTTATACAAACGTCGGAATGACGGCCAAAAACCATTTTTCTAAGCCTTATAAAAACAGCAGTGCAAAGTGAAATTTTTTTGACAGCTATCGAGAACCGAGAAGTCACGCGTACGCATTTGTTCGCTCGCGCGGGTGCATCTCTGTTCGGCCGTCCCTGAGCGCGGGCTCTACGCGCGCTGTAATTGGCCAGTGTTTTTCGTTAATAATTCAAAAACGAAGCTTCAAACTGGATTTTGGAAAAGGAAAAGGTTGTTCAGAGTCACCTCAGCTACCCCCCATTTCCGGGTGTTCGAGGAGTTACGGGACACCCTGTAGAAACCACGAACAAGATATGGGCGTTCGAGGGCTGGTGTTGTAGCGTGATGCTTGTACGGTGTAGTTGACAACGTGGATTTCGTGCGAGTATTCGAAAAGATGCTAAATATTAATCCTATTAATGTAATAACTTTACTGTCTGCTGCGTTTGTTGAGTGGAACCAGGGACCCACAGCAATTAATAGCGCAGAAGAAAATTTAAGGGATGTATTATTCGATTTAATTGTAAGAAGTGTCGAAGTCACGGGATTCCTGGTTGAACATGAAACGTGTGTTGAAATGGACGGGACGCCTATCGAACAAGAAATTCAGGATGCTGATTTGAACTGGTTAGATGAAGAGGAGGAAAATAGGACACCGAATGTTCCAAACATGTACGAAGAAAACGTTGTATGTCATTCGAATAAGGAATACATCCCATTCGAATATAAAAGGAAAGCTGTGGCGTACTGGAACAACGGTAAGTCGAAGCGATTAAAATTAGACACCGTGCGTTCCAAATTCCATCACGTGAAATCCGAAAGAATGCTTCGTAAGTGGGCTTTACAAGTTGAACAGGGTGGCACAAAAAAGGAAAAGGTAAAACGTATTGCAGAGTATACATTTAATAAATTTATGGAAGCTCGGCAGTTAAGAGTAATTGTGCATGAAGTAGATCTACGGCGATGGGCTTTACAAGAGAGAGATATAGAAAATTTACAAACATTTAAAGCCGGACATACTTGGCTAGATACTTTTAAAAAGACGTTTAGATTAGTGTCCAGAAAAATTACCAGATTTGTAACCACAAATGTGGTAAATCGAGAAGACGATATTCATTTGCAATGCAATAATATTATAACAGGGTGTCCCGTAACTCCTCGAACACCCGGAAATGGGGGGTAGCTGAGGTGACTCTGAACAACCTTTTCCTTTTCCAAAATCCAGTTTGAAGCTTCGTTTTTGAATTATTAACGAAAAACACTGGCCAATCAGAGTCCGCGCTCAACCACGGGAGCGCAGGGTTTCGTCCGCGCGCGATCGTGAACAAACGCGTACGCGTGACTTCTGGGTTATCGGTCGATAGCTGTCAAAAAACTTTCACTTTGCACTGCTGTTTTTATAAGGCTTAGAGAAATGATTTTTGGCCGTCATTCCGACGTTTGTATAAATTTTTTAAAAAATTGCAATTAGTCTGAATCGCGAAGAAAATAGCGAAGGTCGTTTTTACAACTTTTTTATCTGAGCTCGAAATGAAAATCTAAAAAATACGTTTTGCAGATCTATGTCAATGATACACGTGCTGATAATTTCATCGAAATTGGTTAATTTTTCTATGAGCTACAAACGGTTAAAGATGATAAAAATCGCACTATCACGACTTTCGGCGTAAAACTGTAATAAATCTGCAGATTCTTACATCTTTCGATGCCTGTTGCTTGTTTCTCCATCAACATATTTCGATGAAATTTTATAATTGACATCGATTTCCAAAACGTATTTTTTTTCTTTTTCATGAATAACAAGTAAGACGTTTAATAATAGTGTTATTAACTGTGTTATCGTTTCTTTATTCCGAGAGGAATAAAGTGTTTTATTACTTATGAAAAACTTACCCATTCGTCCACGAATTAATCTGCTTCGACGGAACTGGGTCAGTTTGTCGATCCTGACCTATCCGAAACATCTGATATTACGATCGTGTCGGTGAACTCACATGATCGTTCTTCGCCAAACGTCGCGCGGTCCGCGGGGAAAGTGTGGAAAAAAACAAAAGACGTCTCGGCGTTCTCAACGTGTTCTTTCGGCGTTCGACGTTTATTGTTGTCGATGTCGATGTCTTTTCTGTCTGTATTAACGCTCATCGGTGAGCTCACTTCCCCGCACAGATCACTTCCTCTTGCCGCAGGGAAAGGTTGGTATTTTATCATCATAAAATTCATTAATCAAATGCCACCGCCTGACCAGGGAATCAAACTCACATCGGCCCGCAATAAACCTCCTTGCGCGAACGCATCGAAGAAACAAAAACCTCGCGAACCTCTCCTCTCCATAACCGATGCTCTCTTCCGTCGTCAGGACGACAATACACCACCTAGAGTGTAAGAGGGATTTACGGCCTCGCGAAATTCTTCGAAAGAATTGCGGTCCACGGGAAGCTACAGGAACAACAAAATAATAAATTCATAAACATATCAACCTCTCCCTGTGGCAAGAGGAAGTGATCGGTGCGGGGAAGTGAGCTCACCGATGAGCGTTAATACAGACACAAGAAACATCGCCATCGACAACAATAAACGCCGAAAGAAGACGTCGAGAACGCCGAGAAGTCTTTTGTTTTTTTCCACACTTTCCCCGCGGACCGCGCGACGTTTGGCGAGGAACGATCATGTGAGTTCACCGACACGATCGTAACATCAGATGTTTCGGATAGGTCAGGATCGACAAACTGACCCAGTTCCGTCGAAGCAGATTAATTCGTGGACGAATGGGTAAGTTTTTCATAAGTAATAAAACACTTTATTCCTCTCGGAATAAAGAAACGATAACACAGTTAATAACACAATTATTAAACGACTTACTTGTTATTCATGAAAAAGAAAAAAAATACGTTTTGGAAATCGATGTCAATTATAAAATTTCATCGAAATATGTTGATGGAGAAACAAGCAACAGGCATCGAAAGATGTAAGAATCTGCAGATTTATTACAGTTTCACGCCGAAAGTCGTGATAGTGCGATTTTCATCATCTTTAACCGTTTGTAGCTCATAGAAACATTAACCAATTTCGATGAAATTATCAGCACGTGTATCATTGACATAGATCTACAAAACGTATTTTTTAGATTTTCATTTCGAGCTCAGATAAAAAAGTTGTAAAACTGACCTTCGCTATTTTCTTCGCGATACAGACTAATTGCAGTTTTTTTACAAATTTATACAAACGTCGGAATGACGGCCAAAAACCATTTCTCTAAGCCTTATAAAAACAGCAGTGCAAAGTGAAAGTTTTTTGACAGCTATCGAGAACCGAGAAGTCACGCGTACGCATTTGTTCGCTCGCGCGGGTGCATCTCTGTTCGGCCGTCCCTGAGCGCGGGCTCTACGCGCGCTGTAATTGGCCAGTGTTTTTCGTTAATAATTCAAAAACGAAGCTTCAAACTGGATTTTGGAAAAGGAAATCCTTCGTAGAAGGAGGTATTCAATCAGTGTCATCCACCACTCATAGTTACACCATCCAGCCAACCATTTCAGCTGATGGACAATTACTGTCACCATTATTTATTGTACTCAAAGAGAGTACAGGACATTTCGGGCCGATTGTGGAACAACATTTATTTCGCCCTGACAATGTATATATTGCAGCTTCAAAGTCAGGAAAATTAACTACGGACCATTTCAAGACCTGGTTAAGAGAGATTTACTTCGCAAATACTGGGCCCACAACAGTTCTAATTCTTGATTCCTGGAATGGTCACTGAAAGAAGACACTGAACGAAGTTACTCCCGAGGGTAAAAATGTAAAACTTTTTATAATACCAAAAGGTGGAACAAAGTATGTTCAACCACTGGATGTTTACGGTTTCCGCACTTGGAAAAATTTCGTACGCCGATTTTTCGATATAGTTCTCATTTTAAATCACGACATTAATCTCCACGCTAGGAATAATATAATCAAACTTCAATCTCTGGTCCACAATCAATTTTCATCACCAAGGTTCTAAAATTTTATTAAATACTCCTGGTATAAATCCGGATATATAGATGAAAAACCAAATGAATTCCAGAATCCTGTTGAGTACTGCTATTCTGTTGAAAATGAAACAAGATGCCATATTTGCGGTGACGTGGCAATAATTAAATGCGCATGGTGTAAGAAATCTTTATGTCTCAAACATTTTTTCGACGAGTACCACTATTGTCGAAACTACATAGAATAATTGCTATACACACTGTATGTACTTATAATTTATAAATCGCTCCACCTTTGCCACGATGTCATAGGTGAATAATAAAAACATTTAATCTTTTCATTGCTGTTAAGAAACTTGCTACTGTCATTGTTACTTGTTACTTGTTACTGTATAATTTAGTGCAAACCTACAGTGCTTCATTAAAATGAAAGTCAGAACGGCTACTACCATAGTGGATGTGCGCGCAAGATGTAAATCATCAAAATCTGCAAAACTGTAAGAGGCAATTTTAAAATGTTATATACTAATGGATTTGGAATAAAATGCTCGTCATTTTTTGTCATTATAAAAATTTCAATAAAATGAAAAATTAAGTTAATAAATTTTTTTTGTTATAAACAAACTGTATTTTGTTAAATTTTTTAACACCATGTTATTGTACGTCAGAAACCATTAACCTCGCCCATTAACAATTTTTTCGTATGACTTACCGTTTTCGAGATAGGCGTTTCGAGCCAAAATTTCAAGGGGTGGTTTCACCCCTTAAACTCGATTTACCGCAGCTAAAAAAAAATACGTGTCGATTATTTTTGACTGCTTTATAAGTGTACAAAGTTTGATCAAAATCGAAACCGGACCGATCGAGAACGTTCCTTGTAAGATGTTGGGGGCAAACACAGATAATTAAATATTTCGACGTGAAAAATAATTTCTAAAACTAAATGTGACCAACGAATTCTTGCCTCTTTTTGGTACCGAAAAAGAAGTTGTGCTTGGTTCTTAAATATCTCACACGGTTGCCGTGTTACTGTTAAACGAAGCGAATGTGCACCTATAACGTCGGCTAGGGGATAATAGTTCTTCGCGATTTTCACAGAACATACTGCGGCAATTGTCGTACTCTAAATGGCGTACGATTCTGCTATGCATTCTGGACCACGGCTTCGAATATAAGAACAACGATGGTGTGGCAAATACAATTAATGAAATATTTCACTTTAAAAATTATTCCTTCAGCTAAATGAATACAACGAAATCTTAGGTATAGCTCTCGTGCTCTCCTATCACAATATTATGTAATACGCGTGAAGTGAATTATAACAATTATTGTGGGAAGGCGTCCGATGAACCTCCTGTACTCTACTCTTTGGAAGGCGACCGGCGGATAGTCCAGCCGTTCTCCCCATTCCAGGAGCGACCCAGGTATAGCTCTCGTGCTCTCCTATCACAATATTATGTAATACGCGTGAAGTGAATTATAACAATTATTGTGGGAAGGCGTCCGATGAACCTCCTGTACTCTACTCTTTGGAAGGCGACCGGCGGATAGTCCAGCCGTTCTCCCCATTCCAGGAGCGACCCAGGTATAGCTCTCGTGCTCTCCTATCACAATATTATGTAATACGCGTGAAGTGAATTATAACAATTATTGTGGGAAGGCGTCCGATGAACCTCCTGTACTCTACTCTTTGGAAGGCGACCGGCGGATAGTCCAGCCGTTCTCCCCATTCCAGGAGCGACCCAGGTATAGCTCTCGTGCTCTCCTATCACAATATTATGTAATACGCGTGAAGTGAATTATAACAATTATTGTGGGAAGGCGTCCGATGAACCTCCTGTACTCTACTCTTTGGAAGGCGACCGGCGGATAGTCCAGCCGTTCTCCCCATTCCAGGAGCGACCCAGGTATAGCTCTCGTGCTCTCCTATCACAATATTATGTAATACGCGTGAAGTGAATTATAACAATTATTGTGGGAAGGCGTCCGATGAACCTCCTGTACTCTACTCTTTGGAAGGCGACCGGCGGATAGTCCAGCCGTTCTCCCCATTCCAGGAGCGACCCAGGTATAGCTCTCGTGCTCTCCTATCACAATATTATGTAATACGCGTGAAGTGAATTATAACAATTATTGTGGGAAGGCGTCCGATGAACCTCCTGTACTCTACTCTTTGGAAGGCGACCGGCGGATAGTCCAGCCGTTCTCCCCATTCCAGGAGCGACCCAGGTATAGCTCTCGTGCTCTCCTATCACAATATTATGTAATACGCGTGAAGTGAATTATAACAATTATTGTGGGAAGGCGTCCGATGAACCTCCTGTACTCTACTCTTTGGAAGGCGACCGGCGGATAGTCCAGCCGTTCTCCCCATTCCAGGAGCGACCCAGGTATAGCTCTCGTGCTCTCCTATCACAATATTATGTAATACGCGTGAAGTGAATTATAACAATTATTGTGGGAAGGCGTCCGATGAACCTCCTGTACTCTACTCTTTGGAAGGCGACCGGCGGATAGTCCAGCCGTTCTCCCCATTCCAGGAGCGACCCAGGTATAGCTCTCGTGCTCTCCTATCACAATATTATGTAATACGCGTGAAGT